ATCAGGAAGACTCGATGGACATGAGTTTGAGGAAACTCTGGGAGTTGGTGATGGACAGGGAGGCCTGGTGTACTGCAGCCCACGGGGTCGCCAAGAGTCAGACACGACTGAGCAACTGAACTGAACTGAACTGAAGCAAAAGAAAGATAATAATTAGATCAAGATAAAAATCAACAGAATTTAAAGCAGAAAAATAACAGAGAAAAAACAAAACCAATACTTTGTTGAAAAGATCAACAAAATTCAATATCCTCTAGTCAGACTGATCAGGGAGAAAAGAAAGAAGACACAAATTACCAGTACCAGGAAGAAGAGAAATAAGACCACTGCATTCTAAAATGTTAAAAGCATAATAAGGGACTATTATTAATTTTATGCCAAAAAATTCAGCAAATTCAAATGAAAGGGAATAATTCCCTGAAAGACATAAACTATGAAAGCTCATTCAAGAAGAAGGCAACATGAAGTGCCCTATTTTTGGGGGGGCCATAATGTGAGGAATGCATGATCTTAGTTTCCCAACCAGGGATCGAATTTGCACCCTCTGAAGTGGAAGAACGGGGGTCTTAAACACTGGACTGCTGGGGAAGTCAGAAAAACTGCCTTATATCTATAAAGAAATGGAAAACTTCCTGTTTTCTTTGTTTCCACAAAGAAAAGATTCAGATGGCTTCACTGGTGTATTCTAGCAAACATCTAAGAAAGAAACATTACCAGTTCTACACAACTTCTTCCGAAACACTGAAGAGTACATAATTTAAAACCCACCCATCTCCAACATATACAAACAGCTTGTGGAGCTCAATATTAAAAGAACAAACAACCCAATCAAAAAGCTTGTACAAGACCTAAACAGCCATTTCTCCAAAGAAGACATTGGTGGCGGCCAAGAGGCATGAGAAAAAATCCTCAACATCAGTAATTATTAGAGAAATGCAAACTGAAAACCACAAGAGGTATCACCGCATGTGTGGAATCTAAAGAAACGGTGGACCTATCTGCGGGCAAGAACAGAGAGACAGACACAGAGAACAGATGTATGAGCACAGAGGTAGGGACGTGAGGCAGGAGACTAGGATTGATACACGTGTCTGTGTAACAGCTGGGAACCCGGTGCATACAGCACAAGGAGCTCTGCTCCATGCTTTGTGGTGACCTAGATAGGAGGGAGGTGCAAGAGGGAAGGGATATATGTGTGTACGTACAGTGGACTCACCTCATTGTACAACAGAATCTAACACAACACTGTACAGCCACTATATCCCCAAAACAATAAATAATGGGGGGAAAAACTCATCCTTTATCATAATATCAAAAATTCTGAAAGACCAAATAAATCTGACAAATGATGTAAAAATCTTGTGCCCGGAAAAGTTACAAAACACTGCTGAAATAAATGGACTCTTCTTCATGAAAGACTCAGTATTGTTAAAATGTCACATCTCCCCAAGTTGCTATATAGATCCAATGTAATTCCAACCAAACCCCAAAACATGGGACTTCCTGGTCGTCCAGGGGTTAAGAATCTGCCTGCCAGTAATGGTGGCTCAAGTGCTAACCTTCGTCAGGGAACTAGGGTCCCACATGCCATAAGCCTGCACACCACAACTACTGAGCACACCTGCCACAACTATGACTCAGAGCAGCTAAAAAAAATTAATGTTAAAGAAAAAAAATTTTTTTTCAGTGGAAATGTTAATCTCTTTGTAAGGTTGAATCTAAAGTTCATATGAAGGTTAAAAAAAAAATTTCTAAAAAAGGGAAGAGCAAAGTTAGAGAGTTAACACTTTTCGTTGTGGTTCAGTCACTAAGTCATATCTGACCCTGCAAGCCCATGGACTGTTAGCACACCAGGCTTCCCTGTTTCTCACTATCTCCCAGAGTTTGCTCAAACTCAACTCCATCAAGTCAGGGATACCATCCAACCATCTCATCCTGTCACCTTTTTCTCCTTCCACTCACAATCTTTCCCAGCATCAGGGTCTCTTTCAATGAGTTGACACTTCACAGCAGCTGGCCAAAATATTGGAGCTTCAGCTTCAGCACCAGTCCTTCCAAAGAATATTCAGGGTTGATTTTATTATAAAAAGCAACAGTAATCAAACCAGTGCAGTAGTGGCATAAAACAAATCAGTAGGCAACATATATATGGACTAATTTTTGAAAAAGATGCAAAGGCAATTCAGTGAAGAAAGTCTGGCCTTCAACAAATGGTGCGAGAATAACTGGACAGTCACATATATATATAAATTAAAACAAAAAGACTACCTTGGATCCATACCTCATACACCAAAAATAGATCAAAATGGATCATAGTCCTAAATATAAAGCCTAAAACTATAAAACTTCTGGAAAAAAACATAGTAGAAAATATTTGTGATTTTGGTTAAGTAAAGATTTCTTAGCTATGACAGCAGAAGAACAAACTGATAAATTACATTTCATTAAAATTTAAAACTTCCTTTCAAAAGACACTTCTAAGAGAGTGAAAAGACAGCCATAGACTTGAAGGAAATCTTTGCAAAGCACCTAATAAAGAATTTATATCCAGTTTTCTACACAAAGAGCTCTCAAAACTCAGTAAGAAAACAAACAAGGCTATAAAATGATGGCCAAAAGATCTGAATAACAAAAAGATCTGAACAGATACCTCAACAAAGAAGATACATGGATGACACATAAATTCAAGAAAGGATCCTTAGCATCATTAGTCACAAGGCAAAAGTAAATGAGGTTGTTGCAAAAGTAATTGCGGTTTTGTATTGTTAAACTTTATCATCTGATATTAGAATACATTCATTCTTAAATAAATGTCATTATGCTACACATCACTTTAATGCTCATTTCTCGCTTTATTCTTTTTTTTTTTTTGCTAATGACTTATTGCAGTTTATTTTATATTTATTTTAGACTACAGAAATGATGTCAGACAAAAAGCAAATTTGAGTGATTTTTTTATTCGAGTTCAAAATGGGTCGTGTCATAAAGCACCAGACAACTTGTAAAATCAACATTGCATTTGGCCCAGGAACTGCTAAGAAATGTACTGAGCAGCAGTGGTTCAAGAAGTTTTGCAAAGGAGACGAGAGCTTTGAAGATGAGGATCATAGTGGCCGGCCACTGGAAGGTGACAACGATCAATTGAGAGCAATCATCAAAGCTGCTCTTCTTAAACTACATGAGAAGTTGCTAAAGAATTCAACGTTTACTATTCTACAATCATTTGGCATTTGAAGCAAATTGGAAAGGTGAAAAAGCTTGGTAAGTGGGTGCCTCATGAACTGACCTTAAATCAAAATAATGGTTGTTTTTGAAGTGTCGTCTTCTCTTATTCTATGTAACAATGAACCATTTCTCAGACTGCGATGTGCAACAAAAAGTAGATTTTATACAACTGGCAATGACCAGCTCAGTGGGTGGATCGAGAAGCTCCAAGGGACTTTTCAAAATCAAATTTGCACCAAAATGAGATCATGGTCACTGTTTGGTGGTCTGCTCCTGGTCTGATTCACTACAGCTTTCTGAATCCCAACAAAACCAGTATATCTGAGAAGTATACTCAGCAATCTGATGAGATGCACCAAAAACTGCAATGACTATAGCCGGCACTGGTTAACTGAATGGGTCCAATTCTTTTCCAGGACAACGCATGACTGCAGGTCATGCAACCAACGCTTCAAAAGTTGAATGAACTGGGCTATGAAGTTTTGCCTCATCCACCATATTCACCTAACCTCTTGCCAACCAACTACCACTTCTTCAAACATCTTGACAAGTTTTTGCACAGAAAATGCATCCTCAACCAACAGGAGGCAGAAAATGCTTTTCAAGAGTTTGTTGAAGTACAGATTTTTACACTATAGGAATAAACAAACTTATTTCTTGTTAGCAAAAATGTGTTGATTGTAATGGCTTCTATTTTAATTAGTAAAAGTGTGGTTGAGCCTAGTTATAATGATTTAAAAATCACGGTCTGAAACTGCAATTACTTTTGCCCCAACCTAATAAAACCATAATGAAATACTATTACACTTCTATGAGAACACCTCAAATTAAAGACTGACTATATCACATGTTAACAAGAATGTGAATTAACTAATACTCTCAAAGACTACTGACAGATATAAAAGTGATACAATCTCTTTAGGAAAAGAGATGGCATTTATTAAAAACTGAATCATGTATTTTCCATTCTATCTTAGGCGGACACAAGAGAAAAGGAAATATATGTCATGTCGATTTGTAAATGAATGTTTATTGCCACTTGATTTGTAAAAGTCAAAACCAGAAAGCAAACCAAGGAGAATGGATACACGTGTATCTTTGGCTGAATCTCTTTAATGTTCACCTGAAACTATCACAACACTGTCAACTGGCTATATGCCAATCCAAAAAAAAAAAAAAGAAGCAAACGAAATGACCGTAAATAGCTGAATGGAAAAACAAACTGTGGCATATACATACAATGGAACACTACTCAGCAATTAAAAAGGAAAGAACTATCCATACATGAATGAACTGTAAAATAATTCTGCTGAGTAAAAGAGATCAAACATAAAATGTGTGTGCGGTGCTTAGTCACTCAGTCGTGTCCAATCCTTTGTGGCCCCATGGACTGCAGCCTGCCAGGCTCCTCAGTCCATGAGATTCTCTGGGATGTAAAGACTGAATAAATGTATTTTCAGATATGTAGTCTCTGATTACTCTTTCATAAAAGCCAGAGGAAGTGTGATTCCAAAACAAATGTGTAAATCAACAGCAGGAAGCCATAGAAATCAGGGAACACAGGGTTTAACCTAAAAAAGAAATGAAGGGAATCCCCAGGATGATAATTAAGAGAACAATTGCATGAGACAGCTGTGTATCATATGAATTAGAGAATCTCAAAAACCAAATTCAAGACATATATCAAATATCTATACATTTTATTCATATTTATTCATTCACTATAGACTTTATCCCCACCTACCCTGAATCTAAAATCATAAAGTCTTTGAGGACAGATTTTTTTTTTTTCCATTTTGTCCACTGCTGTGTTCTAAGCATCTAAAACAACACCTGCTATTTATTTGGTATGTAATAGAAATTTTCTTCATAAATAAAATTGCTAATTTTATCCTAAGGATCACTACATGTTAGTAATTGGCAATAATATTGCATCTTTTTTCTTTAATAATATTGTATCTTGAAGTCACAATGTCAGAAGATTTTAATCTACAGATTTAGATTCCCATTAGCTATTCTCCATAAAAATAATTCCATTTTTGCAAAAACAAAATAAATCTTATTTTTCTGGGACTTCCCTGGTGGTGCAGTGGTTAACAATCTGCCTTGCAGTGCAGGGGACACAGGTTTGATTCCTGTCTTAGGAACTAAGATCCCACATGCTACAGAGTAACCAAGCCTCTCGGCTCTAACTACTGACTCTGCACACCACATCTAGAGAATCTGTGTGACCAGATCCCACATGATGCAACTAAGACTCAACACAACCAACAAATAAATATTAAAAAAAAAAATCTTTACCTAGTTCCCAAACATGATGGAGAAACTGAATCAGCTGATTCCTATTTCATAAAAATCCCTAGTACAGCACACAGATCCAGAGATCTTTGACCTTATATAAACTGTCAAAAAAACAACAAAACCAAAAAACTTTTCAAGTATATGAACAAAAAAAGGATAAAGACTTTATCTCATGTCATTTAATATTCCATTACCTGATGCTCTACTTCCTGAACTAAGGATTCCAGTAGTTCTGTTTCTTGAGTCAGAGATGTCTTCTGACCTATTTAAAAACAGCAAAGACGAACATTCAGGCTCGTTATTGGTTTGAAAATGAAATTAACTTTCATTGAACATATTCGATAATAAGAAATCAATCTCAAGTAAGCAAAACTTCTTCATTACAGCTATCTTAAAAAACTTCCCAGAATTGTAATTATAGTAGCTTTGACAAGAGGATTTCAGAACCAACACTAACTACAGTAACAGACAAAATGCAATGTAATTCTATTAAATCCTTCTAAGAAACATATAATGACAACATACTCTGTGATGAAATTAATGTTACTGCTTCTTTAGGAATATAAAGATGTACCAAAGTATTTAATCAATCAACCATTCTGAAATAATTCCTCCCCCCAAATTTAACAGTGGCCTAAAAAGAAGAATGTAGTTAGTGGACCATTTTGTATAAGAACTGTCAGCAAGAGGTATGTTCTTTGAATAAAAAGGAACCTATGAAAAAGAATGCCCAGAGAGGAAAGCAGTCTCAAAGAAGCTGGAAACAGGAGGGAAAAATGAAAGATTATTACAGTGAAGGAAGAAAGACACTGCTGACATGATTACAGTACAGGCAGGCTTGCCAAATCAAACCATCTTCTGTGTAAATCACAGTCTGAGGAGCTGGAAGCATATCCCATGATGTCAGCAGAAATCATATCAATTTGGTGTAATGTTAACTGACATAAGGGAACAATTAATAGGCAGAATTCTTTTTTTAAAGCAATCTTTCCCCAGCCTATAACTTATCAACTTTTACTCTTCTAAGACGAATCTCTAGGAGGTTCAAAGCCCCATGTACACAAGAAAACTCACCCATCAATGTTATTAGCTTATTTTTCAGCTGGGTGTCTAATCGTGCTATCATCATCTCCACTGCATTCCTAATCTCCCGAACACGCTCATCTTTTGCATTTCTTACAGCTTCTACATTTCTTTCCTAGAAAATAAACAGGTAAACACTTTTAATTGAATTATTCAAACAGAAGTAAATGAACCTTAACATAATCACTGCAATTCTTAAAGTCATTTAATTTCCTTTAAAAACTATAAGCTAATATCACTTTTTAATTGTTCAAATACAACAGGAAACTCAGAAAAAAATTTTAACAATTAAAACATAATAAACTACATAATACTTTAACATTTAAACAAAAAAGATGTGTAACTACAAAAAACTGCTTTAGGTAACACATACAAAGCCTAACCATATAGGAAATCACTGTTCAAAAAGTACACTAAGGTCAGTTCACATCACCCTAAAACAAATGAAAAATCTGAAAAACCGTATCTGCTCTAGTTTACAAAGTTTTAAATTTTTTTCAGAACTAAGCTCAGAAAGAAAAAAATAGGGTTTTTAAAGACTGAATAGTACAGTTTTTTTTAAATAGCATACCACCAAAATAAAAAGTAAACTTTCCTATATTTACTATTATAAGCAAAAGCAGTGAGAATGTCAAACTACCAACAAAACACCTTCTTTACTGCCCAAATTAAAATATCATCAAAAGAAAACAGAAAAAAAGGTAGACAAATAAAAGCCAAATGGAAGACATCCAACTTGTTTATAGTCCAAAATGACTTTGTGCAGCATACACATAACTCAAAAATATTATTTTCTGTATAAAGAATGTTATAAAAATGATAATCTCAATCTTGATTCCTGCATGACTAAAATAAAAAGTTACGAATGGTCCACAAACCTCACTAATAAGTGTCATTCAGGTAACTTTGAACAAAATAAATTCCAAAAGTGTATTTTCTACTTAAATGTTTGATGCTTATTACACTTTCCCATAGAAATATTATTACAAATGGTAAATAACTCACCAGAGCTCTTGACCCAGACAATATCCAAAGAGTAGTGTTAAATATTACTCATTCAATTTTACAGTTCTAATTCAGAAATAGTTCATTCTGTGGTAGCAGAAACTCTCACAAAGAATAAATGACTTAATGACTATAAAATGTCAATACTGAGTCTATTCAGAAGTCAGTAATTGACTCTGTAACAAATAGGCTCATTGAACTCATTCATTGATTCCCTATTTTTCTGCAAGAACAGGCAATTCTCTGGCTCCAACTTCAGAGCAGGCAAGGAATTTGGATACAATTCCTCAGCTGGTTTAAAGTTAGTGAGAGAAACTATAAATACCTCTTATCAAATTTTCCAATTTTGAGTTCAACATCTGATTGATCTATCTTATAAAAAACATATATTTTATTATAGGGACTTCCCTGGTGGTCCAGTGGTTTAAGAATGCTCTTTCAATGCAGGGGGCAAAGGCTGGATCCCTGGCTGGCAAACTAAGATCCCACAGGCCACATGGTGCGGCAAAAAAATAAAAAGAAAAGAAAAATATATGTGCACATATATTATAAACTATAAAAGAAATAATGATCTTTTAGTAGTAGTAGTCTTACCACTTCTTGAACTAAGCTGATCAGTTCCATGAGACGTCGACGAAGTTTGGCTACTTCTTCATTAACTTTAGTAACATGCTGCTCATAAATTTCCGCCAAAGGTTTAAAGGTATGTCCACTATGCTATTTAAATTAATGAGTAGTTTTAGAACATTTTCATATATCTCATCTACATTTACATTCCTTCCTTAACACTCTATGGGTACTACTAAACTGGTAAATAATTTCATGTGAATTTTATCTTCTGCCTGTTACTTAAAACAGGCCAGAGTTTGCTTAAAATCACTTGGCCCATGCAGAAAAAAATCCTTCAAGATTTTAGATAATGGACTTTAGTAAAACGTTTACTTACCTAGAATAGAAATCTTCACTTATTAAAGAAACAAAATCCTTAACCATGGCCAAAACCACCTGATACAACCTTATTTGTTTCTCTTCTCTTAGTACTAGCCTTCTTCTATGTCCTCAAACTTCTTCCCACCAGTCCTTTGCCAAAGAAACTCCTTATTCAAAAATAATGCTCTTTCCTCCACCCTCTTCAAATTCTCCACCCACTTAACTCCTACTTATCCTCTGGAACTTAACTCAGGCTTACAGTGTTGGTCCCATGGTCAGTCACTCTCATTAGCACTGTATACTTATTTCTAATATTTTTCACAACAGCAAGTGAGTATAGAACTAGCTGTTTGATATCTGTTGTGTTCATCACTGAACCCCCAGTCTCTAGCACAAATGAATCAATCAGAAAGGTACTTGAGAAAAGAAGGTTTTTTTAAAAATCGTAAGATCTAAATGTCTACATTGTTTCACAAATGCCTATAAAGTTGTTCCATTTTAAAGAACTAGAATTGGAAATCACAGCCAGGATATCAGATCAACTGACCAGGGTATCAGATTAAGGAAAAGGCCTTGATCCTACAGCAGAAGATTTGCAAATAAATATACATTTTACAGGTTTTCAATTAAAATATTTATGTAAGGAATGCACATCATACACCAAAATCTCCCACAAAAGAAAATTTTCTGGAATAACAAAAGATATAATACATTCTGCTATGAAGCAGATACATTTAATTTTCATTCTATAAACAGAGTAAAATGATATTACTTTCTAAATCAAACAAAATGTCAGTGCTTTCAAGACTCTAACCAAAAATAATATGCTGAATTTGTTCCTCTTACCATTCCTCCCCAAAGTGCACACTGGTGGCAGATACACTTCTTACAAGTCCAGCAAAATACACTAAGTTTTTCATGGTGATTCTCACACCTATATGTTACAGAAAAAAAGGACAGTTATAAATTAATTAAAATTGGAACACAGTTTCCACAACAAATACCTAAGTTTGGGCAAATAAGTCAGTCAATTTTAAATGACTCTATCTCAGGAAATATAAAATGAACTCCCATGGCTTTTATGTAAATTAGACTACATCAACTTAACCTATGTACATCAAAAGACACATGATAGGAGTTAATACCCAAATATTTAAAAAGGCATGTAGCACAATCTATGAAACACCTGGACAAAGAAACTGAGGACATACTTGTCCTTTTCATTTTCTTCATGTTTGGTGAGACTGCAGAGTTGAAGAGTATCAAGTTGCTGTGTTACTTCTTCTGCCCAACGACAGTTTACTAGTTCTCGTAACTGGAGTGGAGCACTGGAGGAAAAAAAAAACATATATATATGTGTACACTCTCATTCAGGAATTTAAGATCATTTTCTAAAACACATTTCAAAGGTAAATACTGAGGTGGCAGATCTGCTAACTCAATGTGGGGAATCCTTTCAGAATTGTTTGTCAATTAATATCTCAACGAAGCTGGAAAAAAATTATCAAGAAAAAATAAACACCTTGCTCAAAATAGAGCTCACAATCATATTCATACCAATTATTATCAAAATAGTAACAAAGACATAATGAAAAGTATGGCTTGCAGCCTATTTTTACAACAATGTACTATTTATTTTTAAAAAGAGGAATAAAAAAATTTTAGATTACAAATTTAATTCTCAATTCCTTAGCCTAAAGCTCTACTGCCCAAAATGACAGCCACTAGTCATATGTGACTTTAAATTAAAATTCAAATTAATCTTAAAAAATTTCATTACATAGTTACACTAGACTTACTTTAAGTGCTCAATTACCACATTTGACAGCAACACTAGAGAACATTCCCATCACATGGAAAGTTCTATTTGATAGTCCTGATTTTCTTAAAAGTTAATAGGAAAAATGCAAATACATGAAGAAAAATGGGCAAAAGATGTAAAGAGACAGTTTAAGAAAAAAATAAATTATAAATGGCTAAAAATGTTAATAGATGCTCAGTTCCAATCATTTTTTTTAAGCAGATTAAAAACAAGATACCATTTTTCACTTAGCAGAATAACAAAAAAAGAAAACAAGATTGGTAATACTCAGTGTTAGCAAGGATGTGATGAAAAGGTACTTTCATTTTCTATTACTAGGAACATAAAATGGCAAAAAGCCTTTTCCTTCAATGGAATCTGGCATCATTTGAAATAACCAAAAATGGAAACAACCTTCCAGTATAAGCACAAATAAATGTATAATCTTACAGTGGATTATTACTCAAACATTGATTTTAAATGACATATGTGTACATACCATCAATAAAGGCACCACTAGATTTTACATGGAAAAAAGAAGCAAACAACAAAATATCATTTTTGTGTTTTAAGAAAAAATTATTATGTACACATACCAGTATACATAGAGAGATGTCTAAAAGAACAAACAAACAAACCAAACCTAACAGTTTCTTCTCAAAGTGTTAATTCATGAAAAGATTAGGTGGGGGGTATCAGAATCAGAAGACTTTTTGTTCAGCTATGGATTTTTTTAACAGAAACTTAATTAATTTCTGTAGTTACAAAAGGCAAGTTTAGAAGTTACACAATGATTTTTCCAAAAGAAGGTAAACAATGCAATATATTCTATACAATTCTATGTCAGATAAATTAGTCTGCACTTCTTCAGACAGATAAGACTGCTTATGTTCTTTTCGACTGTATTCAAAAAGAGAGGAAATGTAGCAGATTGCAGAAAGAACTTTATGAGTATTAGGGCACTCTCTGACCCCATCACCTTACTACTTTCCAAATTCACAATCATAGTAAAATGCTTACCGGCAATGAGGACATTGGGCTCTTTGCTCTGTCAGCCAGCGCTAAGGAGGCAAAAGAATTAGATTTTGATTGCAGAAACACCATTAATTTGTACATATTGAGTACTTACATACCAAAATTAATGAGTTTACCTCTCTAGTGTCTGCATTAATTATAGAGGTACTTACAGAATAGCAGGCAATCTGTCTCCTCATTATCATCGTGACAAGAATAAATTTTCAAAGGGACAGAACTCATCCCAAAATAATTATTAAGAAGCTATTCTCTCATAGGAAAAAAAAAGTGATCCTAGGAGTCTGAATCTCACAGGGAAGATAAAATAATCTCCACAAAAATAATAACAACACTGTCACTTCCACACCCCAAAATAAGCCACTATGATGATTTACTTCTAACTGACTCATCATAAAATCTCCGAGGAATTTTAAGGTACTACTAAATTCCTTTTTGAAAAGCAAACTAATAGTAAAGTATATGCATTACAGATATAAAATTAGAAAAATATAAAATAAGCAATACAGCAAAACTCTGTCATAAGAGTTCTACAGTTCAACAATTTGAACATCTACATATCCTGGTCTCTTCATAATTATAAAAAGGTTTTATAAGAGAATAATATTTCTACTAAACCTCAAATTCTATTACTACAACTATTTTAGTTATTACTGGATAGGGAGCAGTTTTACACGATCTACAAAGAAGATGCTAAGATTTTCTGAATATATTTCCAAAAACAATAGCTTCATGGTTAAATATTTTGTTTGAATTACCTGGTTAATAGGTACTGAGGTAAATAAATAATCCAATAGCTATGTACTCCCCAGTATCCACTATTTCTGTTTATTCCTTCCTGTTTCTATGAAAGAACCTAAGTTTTTAAATAAAGTCAAATAACTCAGAAATAAAATTCCCAAGGAATCCTTGAAGAACAACAGAAGGTAAATAGGGGGAAAATCTACATCACAGAACAGAAAATAAAGCTGTAAGAAAAAGAAAATAGATCGAAAAGGATTCCATTCTTAATAACCTTGAACATTATTTCTTTAGTCCCTGAGCAAAGCCAGATTTAGGTCATGTTTCTTTCCCTCAAACAATGCTCTGCTAAAGTCACAGCACTCCTCCAGAGGTAGTCTCAGCCCAAACCTCTCTAGGCTCATCTGAACGCTGAAGAATTGATGCTTTTGAGCTGTGGTGATGGAGAAGACTCTTGAGAGTCCCTTGGAGATCCAACCAGTCAATCATAAAGGAAATCAACCCTGAATATTCATTGGAAGGCCTGATGCTGAAGCTGAAGCTCCAATACTCGGGCCACCTGCTGCGAGGAGCCAACTCATTGGAAAAGGTCCTGATGCTGGGAAAGATTGAGGGGAGGAAGAAAAGGGGGCAAAAAAGGATGAGATGGTTGGATGGCATCAACTCAATGAATATGAGTTTGAGCAAATAATGGGAGACAGTGAAGGACAGGGAAGCCTGGAGTCCTAGAGTCTACGGGGTCGCAAAGAGTTGGACACGACTGAGCGACTGAACAACAACAACACACAAAACCCACAGCACACATGATACTCCACGGTGAAACACTGAACACTTTTCACAAAGTTAGGAGGACTCACATTTCCTGATTTCAGTGTTTACTAGTTACGGTAAATCACAACAGTTCGGTACTGACATAAGGACAATGAAACAGAATAGAGAGCCAAGAGATAAAACAGCAAGGAACAAATATTCTTTGATTCCATTTATATGGGGTACTTAGACTAGTCGGATTCCAGAGAAGAAGGAATAGTGGTTACCAGGGATTTGGGGAAAGTATAATGGTCCAAAGTAATAAAAGTACACATCCTTGTCTTTTTCTTGATCTCAAGGGAAAAGTTGAGTTACTACTACGTACCTGTAAGAATGGCTAAAATTCAAGACTGAACATACCAACTGTGGGCATTAACATGGAAGATCTGCAACTCTCATACACTGCTGGTAACAATGTAAAATGATACAACTATTTTAGAAAATAGTCTGACAATTGGTTAAACATACACCTACCATATGATTGAGCCATTTCATTTCTACTTACCCAAGAGAAAAGAAAGCTTAAGTTCATTCAAGGACTTGTATACAAATGTTCATAGAAGCTTTCTTTGTAAATACCAAAAACTAGAAGCAACTCTTATGTCCATCAATAGGTGAATGGATAAACAAATTATAGCTAGGCATACAGTGGAATGCTACTTTGCAGCAACAAAAAGGAATAGTACTGTTAAAACACCACAGATGAATCTCAATTTTTGCTGAGCGGAAAAAAAGCCAAACCCTTAAGAGTACATATTGTAAGGTTCCATTTGTATAAGATTCTACAAAATGCAAACTAATCTAAAGTGATAGAAAGCAGATTTCTGGTTGCTTGAGAACAAAACAAGCAAAGGGAGGCATTACCAAGAGGCAAAAAGAAGTTTGGGGGATTACAGACGTGTTCATTATCTTGATTGCAGGGATGGCTTTTCAATGGAAACATTTGCCAAAACTTATCAAATTGTGTATTTTAAATATGTGCAGCTTACTGTATGTCAAATATACCTAATTTTAAAAGACTGAAAAATGGAAAACAAAGTCAATAATTATAGGCAAACAAATTGCTACCAATGCTGAAAAATAAAGAGGGGATTAAAAATAAATTTTAAAAATTAGATGAGAAAGATGTCAGTAAAAAAAAAAAAAAAAGGAGAAAATACGAAATAGAAACAGACATTGAGAAAAAAATCAGCTGAGTGCAGTGAGAGAAATGGAAACACAGCCAATGTTCCTGCCTCCTGGTACACGTGTGGAGGCACCAGATATCCTCGGCAGAGTGCCGGCCTGGGAGGAAGTTCACTCTCAGACTGGCATCAACCACCAGGTGACTTCGGACAAGTCTATTCATGCATCTGAACGTTAGTGTGTTAAAATGACACAAGTATCTGGCCTGTCAGAGATAGTTCAAGCTCTGTGGACAAAGGAACAGAGATGGGATGGAAAAGAAAGGAAGGCATTCAAATAAACAATATTACAACTTGGTTGTGTGGAGCTCTCAACATCTCAAGGACTTTGCTTCTGTAATTATCCTGTCTCTCTAGTATCATTATGTATTCTCTACTGGTTTCATCCCAGAAAGATAAAAACCTCCTAAAAGATGACTCTCAACACCCCCCTTCAATTCATTGCCTTATTTCTCCCCTTTACAGTAAGATTCTCTGACAGTTTTTATACTCGCTGTCTCTTTCTCCTCCCCCTCTGACATCAAATTTTCCCCCACTGGTCTACTGAAATTACTTATTAGGGTCATCAAAAACCTACTTATTCTCAAATCCAACTGTCAATTCCCAGGCTACAACCATATGACATGGCTAAATCACTTCTTTTTGAAACATGTTTCTCATCTGAATTCTGTGATGTCTCACTCCTGGCTCCTTCTTAATACACTCTGCTGAATGCTCCTTCTCCTAACACTTGAACTTTGAGTGACCCAGAGTTCAGACCTAAAAATCTCTTCCCACAGGAAGTAATCTGGTAATCTCATCTAGTCCCCTGCCTTTAAATATTAACTATATGCTAATAATTCAATCCAGTCCTCAAATCCAGATTCATAGTTCCAATTGTCAACATCTCCAATTAAATGTATAATAATCACCTCAAACCTGACATACTAAAAGAAAAACTTTATTTATACATTAAAAGGGTGAATTTTATGGTATGTGAATTATATCTCAATTTGTTTAAGATTTAAAAAATACAAGTACTGTAATAAACTGAACTAGTTCAAAATTTTCAACAGTAGTATCATGGTCATAAATTGGTTTAAGACAGAACTATATTTAGTTATATTGCTCTCACTAGCAAAAACAATGTTTTTTGTACTGTTAAAAAAACAACCCACAACTTTTATAGCCTACTCAAATCTGTTCCTCCCCCAGTTTTCTCTGCTTCAAAATGGAAAACCATTCATCCAGATGCTGTAAAAACTTTCCTCATATCCCATCTCTATGAAAACCCACTGATTCTACCTTCAAAACAACAGAAAAGCCCTATTTTTCACCACTTCTGCTGTTCCCCTTCCAGTCTAAACCACCAATCACCATTCCATTCCTAAGGCCCATCCTGACTGTTCTCTCCACTCTCTCAACCATCTGCCAACAGTCCACTTTCCACACAGCAGCCAGAGTGAAAGCTTTCAGGGCATCAACTACTTCAAATCACTCACCAGCTTTCAATAGATAGCAGCATACCTAAAATGAAACCCAAGGTCTTTACCAAGGCTCATTTCCGTTCCCTCTCTGCCTCTGTCCACTCTGCTCCAAGCACACTGGTTTCTTTGCTATTTCTCAGCACACTAAACGTATTTCTTTCTCAAGGCCTTTCCCCTTCTGATTTCTCTGCCTGGTGCCTTCTTTCCCAATTATTTCCATCACTCTTCCATTTCATCCTGGTCTCTGCTCAAATGTCATATACTCAGAGACATTCCCAGATTACCCTACCTAAAGTAGCTACCAACCTGCCTGTGCCCTCCCAAAGTCCCTACTCTAAACCCTTAACCAATTTCACTTTTCTTTATGCTATGAAGGATATCTAACACAGCTATTTACTTTTTTGTATATATCCTAACTAGAAAAGAATCCAACTCCTTGAGAAGTCAATGCCTAACTCCAAGTAGGCATATAATTAATAGCCATTGAATAAATGAACAAATGGACGGTGTACTTGGGAACAAGACAACTCTAAGAAAAAGGTTAGAACCAGATTATCCAGATGGTCTGAATATAAGGTTAATGTTCTTGGACTTTATCCTTCAGGCAATAAATCCAAGGCTTCTGGGAGAACAAAAAAAAAAATGGCATTACTGGAAAACATCAACACAGCAGCAGGATACAAAATGGACTACAGATTAAACATTTAAGACAGATCAGTTAGATGGTAATTGTAATTATCGAAGCATGAGGTAATAAGTATCTGAAATTCTCTATTAAGTAAAGTGAAGTTGCTCAGTCATGTCTGACTCTTTGAGACCCCATGGACTGTAGCCCACCAGGATCCTCTGTCCATGGGATTCTCCAGACAAGAATACTGGAGTGGGCTGCCATTTCCTTCTCCAGGGGATCTTCCCAACCCAGGGACCAAACCCGAGTGTCCCGCATTGTAGGCAGACACTTTACCGTCTGAGCTACCAGGGAAGCCCCATTAGGATGCTAATAAAAAGAATGGAAAGGCAGGACAAATATAAATGACACTAGGAGATAACAGGACTTCCCTGGTGGCTCAGATGGTAAAGCATCTGCCTACAATGTGGGAGACCCAGGTTCAATACCTGGTTTGGGAAGAGCTCCTAGAGAAGGAAATGGCAATCCACTCCAGTGTTCTTGCTTGGAAAATCCCATGGACGGAGGAGCCTGGTAGGCTACAGTCCATGGGGTTGCAAAGAGTCAGACAAGACTGAGCAACTTCACTTTCACTTTAGGAGATAATAACTTAAAAATCATTGGTGTCAAGAGGTTTTAAGTTTGAGTTCCTGGTAGAAAAGAAGAAATAAAAAAGTTCAAGAGAGTCAACTTGAGAAAATAACAGGAAGAATTTGATTTGAAGCAAATCTCAAGATGCTGGAAGGACAATCAGGTATGACATTTATAAGGCAATGTTGAAGGAAGATTTAGAAGCCATGCAAAAGTAAACCAAATTTCTCAAAGTAGATGAAAAATTCCCAGACACTTCATAAAAGAGAATGCAGTGCAATATTTAAGAAATACACTCTTGTAAGGAACAGGATGAGGAAAAGGTAACAGTGAAGGAATGAAGGATCAGTGAGGAATAACATAATAACCAGAGGTCATCTATATAGTGGTATTTGTATCTTTGTATTTTTGTGCTCAGTCGTGTCTGACTCTTTGCTCCTCTGTTCATGGAATTTTGCCGGCAAGAAAACTAGAGACGGTTGCCATTTCCTACTTCAAGGGATCTTCCGAGTCCCAGGGATCAAATCCATGTCTCCTCCTTCTCCTATGTTGGCAGGCGGATTCTTTAGCACTGCGCCACTTGAAAAGTCCATGTATACTAGACCTTCATCAAAAGAGGTGAATCCAGATCCACTTTATCAATTAACTACAGTGATAGAGGCCACTTAAATCTATCTCTCTTCAGCTACACCGTTTATAAAACACAATATGTGTATGAGTTGTTATTTTTAGAATACAATAAAATAGCACAAGTGGAGAGTATATGTTAGTTTCTAAATTAAACCTTTTAGCTTACTTATCTCATTTAATGCCACAACGATCTTGTGGGACAGATATTGTTATCCACATTCTATTGTTTGAGAAAACAATGCAAAGATCAAGTCTCTCAGTTATGAGTGGGAGAAGCAGCATGGTATGTAACCTAGGCCTTCTGCACATGTAGTATAGTGCCAAAGAACACAGGCTCTAGAGCCAGACTGCCTGGCTCTATCATTTGCTAACTGTGTGACTGGAAGCAAATGATTTAAGTGTTTCAGATATTACTCTTTGACTAAGGGATATTTATCTTCCTCAGGCAGGAACAGGGAACCACAGAGAAAGTTTGAGATGAAGAGTATGTTACATGACTTTGACTTTCTCAATAAAGGAAATTATCTACTAAGAGTAATGTGGGCAGGGCAGTTTTCAGCTATGGCCTGCGAATGTGCACTGAATTCCTACATACAACCAAAATAATCTCTTCTGCTTTACATCTTAGGCTTTCTCATAATTTTGTTGTGGGGTTCACCGACATTTAATTTTTAAAGCCATCAGATTATATTCACCTTTAAGGTCTCTTTTAACTATAAGATTATATGACTTTATTCTTTGCTTTTGAACCCATTACCAGCTTTTTCTCTATCTTACCCATCAAACAAGTATAAACTCTCCCTCTTGAGTCTCGCAGCACTTTGTAAGTGCCTCTTTATGACACTACACATTCCTCAATATAAACACAAAGTCCATTCTCTTAATTAGATTTAAACTCCTGCAGGGAAAGTGCTTCCATCACTTATCTTGGCATCCTCAACTCCAAATACAATGCAGGTAAGCACTTCATAAGTACTTGTTAAGTGTGCAATGATTTAATAATGTAAATATACTAAAGTTACACTGGGTTTTGGTTTCCAGACATTTCAAGGCAGTTATCACTTGATTATTCATTTCCACAGAGCTTAACAATATATGTTGACAACCTCCCTATTAATGAACATTCATTTAAGACATTTTTAAAAGGGCATGAAATATCAAATTTTAAGAAGATATAAAAAATGATTAATTTTTACAATATACCCTATATATGCTAGATGCATGTAAAAAGAGGTACATAACTTACCCTAATACAGCTGAAACAACAAAGCTTGGAGCAATGAGGACACAAGCGCGCGTCCCGCAACTTCTCCATACAAATGAAACATCGGAAAACCTCAGCAATGCTCTGAAAATAAAAAGATGTTAAAGTTCACCAGATTCGGCTACTGAATCAAGAGTATAAAGCATGTCTGCAATAATCCATTCAACATTCACATTTATTTTGGATTCACAACATCTCAGTTTCAACTATATTCCATATACGCTTGGTTAGTCAAGGTCCAGGTACCTCAGAACATCTCCTGAGGGAAAGAATGCCTCCATTTTTCTAAGCTTCACAATGATCCTAGTATAAGCAAAGAACATGGAATTCAGACATAGACTTCTGCACAAATATTCCCACTGAAACAATAAATATAATGGAAGAATCTGGCTACAGCCCAAAGGTCAAAATATTAAATTACAGGAGTTAACATAGATTATGATAGCCACTAGAAAAATTTTTGAAGTTTATGATAAAAAAGACCTTATGATGTGTAACAAAAAAAAGGCAACCTATAGGACTGAATGAACATTATGAACTTGCAGCTTTTTCTGCAAATTCCCCAAGGGGAGTGGATTGTGTTTATAAATTTTTTAAGTATAAAAAGATCCATTAATGGCAGCATACTTTGATCAAAAGGGAAACTATGTAATTCAGAATCCAGAAATCTGAATTTCTGCCAAGATGTTCAAACCAACTAGCAATTTATTTGAGCCTGAAATTCTGCCTGTACTGAGAATTTTGGTGGCAGCTCTATGAAGGCTTTAGGAAGAAAAAAAATTACAGAAATAGAAGGAACAATATTATGTTTGCTAGTTTCAGATGAATCAATTTAGGAAGTATCTGGCAAGAAAACAGATATAATTAAATGTAGGTTATTACATATTGTAAGTTTATTTTTACAGTACTCACATTTATTTTTACTCCATTTCAGAGGAATTAAAAGGCTTCTAAAAACAAAGGTAAGGTTACAAAACCTTTATTATACTTTTACAAGAGGAATTAAGGAGAAAATTAATCATGAGCCTAACCATGACTCTGCAGGACCAGAATCTGTGAGATGCAGACGCTGGGGGGGTGGGGAGATGGGACACAATACGACCATTGGATGAACTAGTTTCAAGTGGAGTACCCAACTAATATAGTTGCTCCTAATTAAGAATCAAGGATTTAGTATTTTAGTAATTGGAAGGTTCAAATTTTGACAATTATTAATAGTATATAATTATGTCCAATAAGCAATCTTTTTTTATGTTCCTAGCCTTAAAGTCAGTATCCCAGACATTTGAAAACATCGTTTACAAGACTCAGATAAAAAGAACAGGTTGCTCTAGAAAACTACAATCAAACAGGATAGTAAGTATATCCTCATTCAATCTGGGAAGGGCAGATGTCTACAGAATGTACCGCGGAGAAGGGAATGATTACCCATTCCGAGGGAGATTCGGATTCGCTCAGAAACTCGTGAGAACTGGCCGCGAGTCGCAAGGGCACAACCATGTAAAGAATTTGTAGTTTTGCGCTGAAAAGGCTGTAGTTTGCAAAAACCCCGTTGGGATGAGTACCAGTGCCAAGACATCCTGAAAACGCCCGGATACGCACCACCTGACTGCGGGAAGCGTCCGAGCATAAGGCGCCCTTGAAGGCTGCAGAGCGAGCACGGCGTCCCCCGCACTGGGTCAGCCCCTCCACAGCAGCAGCAGTGGGGCGGGGGTGCCCCATGAGAGGGTGGACTAGGACGGGGCGCCCCGAATACAGAACGCTCAGCGAGTGACGAGGAAGACTAAGCCACCACCCTCCTCAAGCCCCCTCACCTCCACACTCTGTTCATCCATTGCCCCCTTCTCTCGGTGGGTCCCTCGGAGACCCGCGGAGCCCGTGATCTGACCGATTAGGCGCCAGCCCGAGGTCGCCAGGTCAAACTGCCCCAGAGAACCGCCAGGCGCCCGCCTCAGGGGGCTCCGACGGCCGTCACACCTGCGCGCCCCATAGCTTCACGCTCCGCGCCAGCTACCCCCACTTCGCCATTTTCATCCGGGCGCCAGCCCCTGGGCGCGGTGGGAGGGTGAGCGGTAGCCCGCAGCTCCTCTCCTCCCGGCTCAGCGGCTCGCCAGCGACTGCGAGGGAGTCTAGGCCCACGTGACGCAGGCGCGCGCGTATCGAACCGCTGCCGGAGTCCGGCGGCGTTGGTCTCCCGCGAAGAAGGTGCTGCAGGGAATTCGCAAACACTAACGGTAACCAGGGCAGCGGAAGGCGCGGCGTGAGGAAAGGCGCGGCGCGCGCGCACGCATGCGCGCAGACCGCTGCGCCAAGGGAGCGGGCCAGAAGCCGGCGCCTAGTTCCCGCGGTGCGGGAGCGCACACGAGATTTGGCCGTTCGAGGCCGCCGGGTTGCGTGCTTTCGGTCTGGGTTAGCGCAGGCGGAGGAGGGCGGGGCTCCACTCGTCTCAAAGTTCTGAGCGCCAAAGGCGGGAGCCACCTGGAGAGCTGGGGGGAAATGCAGACTCCGGAACCACACCCCTAGGTATTCGGGTTCTAGGGTGGGGCTCCACGAAATCAGCATGTTTCTGCTACTCTCGCAGGTTGGGCTGCAGGTGTCTTGTGGCCCGCATTTTGCAAAACTGGTGGAGGACTCGTGGCTGGTGATTCTTGCTCGAGGAGCAAACGCAGATTCTGATTTTTAGTACTTCCGCCCCAACTACTGAAGCAGAGCTCCAGATCGTGAAGCCTGGAGCGGTCATTTCAGTGTCGGGAGTGGGCGGGTGGGACCTTGTATTGCGTCGCCGGCAGACTCCGCCATGCAACCACTGCCGCCATGCATTGCTTGGGACTTAAGGTGAGCTAGCGCCTTAAGACCGGAAAGTGCAAGGGTTTCACCTGTTTTCAACGTTCCTGTACCGGCGTTCTCCTTTCTACAGTTTTCTAGGTAAAAAAATGTTTAAAGATTGCAGGAATTGAAGGTGTGAGACGAAGGATATACATAAAATCCTTCATTTAAACTAAAATGTCCCTTTCCAGTTTATTGCAAACTGTTACACCTAACCACACTTAACCTAACTGAATGCACCTGAAGAGAGAATCAGCAATAATTTAGGAAGTTGTTAAATATCAAGCCATTTGGACTTTCTTGTTAAGTAGTAGGCATAACAATTTTTTTCTTTAATGGCAGGAGCCATGGACAAAGATATAATTTAGGAATAATTGTGCCTGAAAAATCCTTTCACCAAAAATTTTTTATGGCCTTGAAACTACATAGAGGTGATACTTGCACATCTTTTATACTAAAATGCCTTCAACTGTACATTTTAATAATGGTTAATTTTTACCTCAAATTTTTAAAATGCTTTAATATTAAACAGCTTATTTAATTACTGGATCAAAATGGCTGGCTTCAAAATGTAATCGTTAATAAACTATATGTGCACCTGTGGGGGGAAAAAGCTTGTAGGACACAGTACTACATTACTTGGTATTCAGAGTAATGAGAAGGGGTCTTTGCAACCCTGTAGAGCAGAAAGCAAAAAAGACAAATTACAATCTATGATAAATATTAAAATAGGTTCTTGTACTAATAGATGTATCTGCGCAAGAGCCCCAAACTGTTTAAGATTAATTGTAATAGTTCACAATAGTGGAAAATTAGAAAACCTGAACAACTAATGAGGGGTCATTGCTTGTCACCAAAGTCGGATACTGGCTAACTTAAGCAAGAAGAAAACTTAGTTGGGAAGATGCTCAGCTACCCTGTGTGGTTGGGAAAACTGTGGTCAGCTCTGTTGGAATTCCTTAAGGGCATACCTTGCCATCCTCCTCTTTTCCCCCTTTCCCCCATCTCCTCATTTGTCTATTGTAGTGTACATGCTAAGTCAAGTCTGACTCTTTGTGACCCCCATGGATTGTAGTTTGCCAGACTCCTGTCTATGGAATTTTCCAGGCAAGAATACTGGAATGGGTTGCCATTTCCTCCTCCAGTGAATTTTCCCAACTCAGGGATGGAACCCAAGTCCCCAGTGTCTTCTGCACTGCAAGCGGATTCTTTATCGGGGCCAGCTTAAATGCCTGTCAGTGAGGAACTGGTGAAAAAAAATTATGGTAAATTCATATGTACAGCTGCTCAAAAGAACAGCAGATGTGTGACATGAAGATACTTTTAAAATGAAAAAAAAAAAGACAAGTGCAGCTACAGTACAGTGTAAGCTGTCAGCCTATTTTTGTTTAAAAATGATTTTTGATTTGTATATATATTATAGAAACATCTGAAAAAGTTGGAATTGTTTGGGAGAATAGGCATACTTATATTTTTTTTAATTTCTTAAAGTTATATTTAAAATACAACCTAATACTTAGGACATAAAAAGACTAATAGTCACGTGTGTGCTGTTCTTAGTTGCTCAGTCATGTCCTACTCTTTGTGATCCCATGGACTATAGCCCACCAGGCTCCTCTGTCCATGGGGATTCTCCAGGCAAGAATTCTGGAGTGGGTGGCCATGCCTTCCTCTAGGGGATCTTCCCAACCCAGGGATCGAACCCAGGTCTCACACACTGCGGGCGAAAACTTTACTTTACCAAGGAAGCCCTAAGAGAATAGTCACATAAGAGAAAACAGTCATCCAGATGAGAAATAAAAATGGTCTAAACCAGATAGAAGAGTGAAGGTAAAATGAAAGTTGTATACAATAAACATTTCAAAAGTTACAGATTTGATTAAGAATATAAAGAAATGGATGCAAACCTTAATTCCAGCTAACAGAATAGTGGCTATTAACAAAATTAAATCACTTAAGTATTTTGGACACATTCAATTTGAATATTCAGGTCAAGGTTTTTATTGGAAATTTGGACCTAGGACTTCTTGGTGGCTCAGACAGTAAAGAATCCGCCTGCAATGCAGGAGACCCAGGTTTGATCCTTAGGTCAGGAAGATCCCCTGGAGAAGGGAATGGCTACCCACTCCAGTATTCTTGCCCGGAGAATTCCATGGACAGAGGAGCCTGGCTGACTACAGTCCATGGGATTGCAAAAAGTTAAACACGACTGAGCAACTAACACTTTCACTCCTAGTGGAATAACTTATACTTGGAAATCATTCCCCAAAGAGGCAATAAATGAACCCAGGGAAATAAATGAATATATAAAGTGCAGAGAGAACAATTTTAAAAGCGATGAGGGGTAGAACCAACATTTTAAGGTAACTTATGAAGGAACTCAGAGGAAAAACATCATTTTTTTCCCCCCTGATTGAAAGCAAAACACTTTAACTCCAGTAACTTGTTAAGACCACTTTGTGATACCACCGTTTTTCAATGCCACCAATCAACATCGCATCCCAGAGTCATATCATGACAGGAACTTCCTCAATATTACTTCCCTGAGAACTGAAGAAGAGTAGTATATGTTACTAAGGTGTGACTTATTTGTAATTTAAAGGTTAGGGTAGTTTCTGTGCTCCAAATATTCAGAATAGACAATTTTAACTGAAGCTACTCTTCCAACCCTGTTTGTCAGCTATTATAAGTTTGTTAATAACATAACAGAAAAAATTCTTATTTACATAAAAGTATAATTTCATAACCTGCAAACTAACATTTGATTCACTTCTCCTGTCTTTCAATATCTTGTTTTTATTACATATGTGGAAATATTTATTGAATTACCAAATATCAAACCTTAACACTTCACCATCTCATTGTCCTTCCAGTCATCCTGACACACACAGGTTAAGTGGTTTGCTTAGGCTTATACAACTAGAATTTAAAACCTGCTTTACATCTCCAGTATCTGCTTCTCCAATATCTGCTTCTCCTCTCAACTTTTTAGCATAGCTTCAGCGTTTCCCAGAACATTAACAGTGATAATTTAGTGGTAACTCGACCTCCTAGTGTATACCATCATTTACTTACTTACTTGCCATTTAAAAAAGTAATAAAATAGACACCGGTGCACACACCCATACACATACACACAAAACTGGTAAACAGCAGTTGCAACAATCCTCTCATTTCCATTTCTTAGCTTTCACATACAGTAATTCCGCTACACATGAACAAGTTCCATTCTGAGAGTGCGTTCCTTAAGTCCAGCTTCTTTGTTAAGTCCAACAAAGTTAGCCTAGGTGGCCAGCTAACAGTCAGCTATATAGTACTGTACTGTAATAGGTTTATAATGGTTTTCACACAAATAATACATATGAAACAAACACAAAGAAATAAAACATTTTTAATCTGAAAGTACAGTATGTTGAAAAGCACAGTAGTACAGGACACAGGGGCTGGCATCGAGTGAACAGGCAAGAAAAGTTTCTGACTGGAGAGGGAGGGGAGGTGGGAGATGCTAGAGCTGAAGGGTCATCAGCAACAGGACAGAAGGCAAGCTGCGATTTCATACCTGCAGTTGATGGCACAGGGTCTGGTTCCTTGCTGGATTCAATTCTGTCTACCTTCTTGAAAGAACAATCCAGTAATGTCTGAGTGGTAGCTCTTTTTTTCTCATCATAGATGCCACGGTAGCACTGAATTACATTCTGAATGGCCGCTGCAACCTTCATGTACCATCCTACATTCAGGTCCTATGCCTCAAAACCTCACAGTGCCTCCTCAAACAGAGCTAACTTATGCGACTGGAGGGGAAAACACACGTTTACGTCTTCGAACGTTCACAACTTGAAAGTTCATATATAGAGATTTACAGTAGAATGAACTGAACAAGTACAGTAGTAGAGACTAGAGGGGAACAAAGGTATATTTCAGGTCCCTGAAATATGACAGGGGCAATCTGAAACAGCATTAGAAAGCAGAGCTCATGCTCAACGTTGGCAGGTGGAAGGAACAGGACAAGAATAAAAGTGAAGCTGTCACAGAAAAGCCAGCTTTCTACTAAGTTAGGTATTGTGGGAGACTGTCAAGTCACATGTTAGCAGTCTCACCAGTAATGTGACCCACATCTGCAATCAGAATTTTCAACAATAAAATTATTTACATATGTATAACATAGTACAAATATTTTTCTAACCTTTAATTTCCCAAGCATGTTCATTCACATCTGACTGACTGATAGTACATAATATTCTTTTGCAATAGGTCAGTCAGGACATTTGTGTTATCCCAGTTATACAAAAACAGATATGAAATGGTGTTGGGACTTGCTTGCCTGAAATTACTAAGCATGTGTGCATGTATTTTAAAAATCTCTTTATTTCCATTCTGCCCCTTTGGCTGAACTTTATTAATACAATATCTGCCCTTCTCTTGTATCCCCCTCTCCTGTGGAAGGCATCACTATCCAGTGACCCAAGCCAAATCTCCTTTGTCATCTCCCGACCAGTAGTCATCAATGTTAACAAGACATCTTCCTAAATTTCTGGGATTGATTTCTTCCCCATTAGAGTTCCTTTTTGCAAGTCCATTTCTTCCTCAGAAGTCTGACATGTGAGCTCTTAATTGCTCTGCCGCAGTTTTCTCTTCTTCAGTCAGTGGTAACAGCTAAAAAACAAATGACAAAATCTTTATTTCAGAAAAGCTTAAAAGAACAAGGTCCTATCATATAACACAGGGAATGATATTCAGTATCCTATAAATCATGGAAAAGAATATGAAAAAAAGAATATATATAGATGTATAATTGAATCACTTTGCTGCACAGCAAAAATCAACACATTGTAAATCAACTATACCTCAATAAGATAAATTTTTTAAAAGTTAAATAAAATCTTTAAAGCCTGTTAAACTAATTTCTGCTTTGTAACACCAATAAATGTTTCCACAAGTTCACAAGAGGTATGTAGTGACAAATTTGTAAAGGCAAGGAAAAAATATATATTAGCTACGTACATACAAGTTACTTTGATATTTGAGTTTCCAAGGAACTCGCAATTAAAGAAACAAGACAAAGAAATCAAACAATTTAAGGACTGTAACAGAACCAAAGAAGTCACATCTGAACACCATATTCTAAAAGTATTTTGAAAAAGAAGTGTGAAAAGACATAGTCTGGAAGTTTCTTCAGAAGTAGAGACTTGGGTTAAATTTTGAAGGATAATTAAGATGCTTTTATCTGCAAGTAACAAAGACACATATGAAAATGGATAAATAAAATACATTATCACTGCACAATAAATACATAAAAAGGGCAGGTTACAGGGCTGGTTTATTAAACAGCTCAACAATGTAAGGACTCAAGTTTTGTCAATCTAACAGCTCTGATATCCTTTATTCTCAGGCTGACAGGAAGGTGGCTCCAGGTATCACATCTATACACAATGTTTAGAACAAGTAAAGCTTTCTCTTCCCAGGGGTCTCTCAGCAGTGAGGAAAACTCTTCCTAATTTCCTATTTCCAGACTCCACCTCCTCATATATCATTTGGGTTACAAACCCATTCATGACCCAAAGTAAGTTAAAGGAAAATCCATTCCCCTTGCCAATCAAGCATATCCTAAAGTTAAGGATAGCGCCACTTTCACCTCAGGCATGAGTCTGTGAGGAACAGCACACATCTCAAGAAGAGTCAGTAATGTCTTACACAGGAAGGGAGGACATGCTGAGAAAACAACCAGCAAACCAAATCCACAAAAGCGGGTCAGCAGCAAAACCAAAGGGGAGAGGAAAAGCCGAAGGGAAGTTGAAAGGGGCTTTCATAGAGCGCCAACAAATAGGCTAGCTGTAAAAAGAGTTAATGAGGAAATAATAGGAGGTAGGACCTCAAGAATCACTCACATGGTTACAAATCTGCCTAACTATATAGGTCATCTCTAGAGAGACTGTCAAATCGGGAACACCTCATACCCGCAGGATCAGAATCTCCAGCGCAATGCTGTCCAACAGACCTCTCTGTGATCCTGGAAATGTTCTGTATCTGCATTCATGAAGGAGTATATTAATTTTATTTTTAATTACTTTTTAATTTTAGTTCATTAATATAGAGCCATATGTGGCTATTGGAGACCCCACCTGGTTTGGCTCCTCAAGCCAACCATTTGCCCAAAATGTTCACATGGATAAAACAAAAACACTTACTGCAACTCAAATAGTGACAGAATTTCCCTCTTCTATCTGAAAAACAGGATATGATATTATTCTGGCAAGACTTTGTTCTCCATGAGTCCATGTTTCTCTTTGTGATCTCTGAAATTCAAGAGATTTCAGACCATCTGTTTAATAAAACTTCAAAGAGTTTTTCCAGGAATTAACTATTCTAAAATACATAGATATTTTTCTTCTTTAATACAAATGTTTCAGAGCTTTGATGGAATAACATACATTCTATCTTTAATGCCTTTTCAATTTTCTATTTATTGCTATATTTTTGTTTGGTGGGGGGACTGTTTTGCTATTTTCTATTTGGAACAAATTTGGTCCTTTTTTCTTTTGACAGTCACCTTTACAACTAACTATATTTAAACGTCAGTGTCTTAATGGCAACTAAAAAGATCAGGAAATTAATATGTATTCCCTACCATCCACTTCCTTTTCTGTTCTCATCTCCCTATTTATCATTATCAATTCAATTTTTTTTACTATTATCAATTTAAATATATATTTTCTACCCTTCCAAATGAAAAACCACTCACCTTGATAAAAATCATAGCAAGATAATAACAGAACAGTTTTACTTTCTGTTTGCATTCTCTTGTTTATAAACAATGGACCATTTGCTCTAAGTAGACATCCCTTTCTTGTTCTTCATGTTCCCCAAATAATTGTAAAAGCCCTTGCGGTTACTCTTAAGAATTTTCAGAATCCTCAGCTGATAACTATTCTCACAGTTCTGACCCTATGTCTAATATACCTCTTTTATACATGAAATTCCTTTACATGTTCTTTAAACTCTGGGCTCATAGAACTATTTGAGCCATATAATTATGGTTATATAACTCTTTATAGATGCCATCCCCTTTTCTTCCGCATTTCAATCATAAAAATTTTCTCTGAACGTTCCACTATTAATACTATCTCATTTTTAAACTAGTAGGCACAAGACCAACCATATCCAACATTTCCCAGCTTGGCTACAGTTGATTCTAAAACATGACCTCCTTTACCTTTAGCCATTTCTCCTATTTTTTTTTTAATGTGGATCATTTTTTTTAAGTCTTTATTGAATTTGTGACAGTATTGTTTCTGTTTTATGTTTTGGTTTTTTGGCTGAGAGGCCAAGAGGCACCTGAGATCTTAACTCCCTGACCAGGAACTGAACCTGCAGCCCCTGTACTGGAAGTGAAGGGTCTTCTGCCAGGAAGTCTCCATTTCTCCTTTTTGTCATTATCTGATCCAAAATGAAAAAGTTCCCTTAGCTTTCTACCTTTGATATAATTATTGCTCATTTCAGATAACAGAAGGACTGATACTGAAGCTGAAACTCCAATCCTTTGGCCACCTGATGTGAAGAGCTGACTCACTGGAAAAGAATGATGCTGGGAAAGATTGAGGGCAGGAGGAAAAGGGGACGACAGAGGATGAGATGGTTAGATGGCATCACCGACTCAATGGACATGGGTTTGGGTGACTCCGGGAGTTGGTGATGGACAGGGATGCCTGGCGTGCTGCGGTTCATGGGGTCGCAAAGAGTCAGACACGACTGAGCGACTGAACTGAACTGAACTCAGATAACTAAATGAAAGCCTTTACAGATATTCAAATGATTTGAATCCCTGGCTCAGTGGTAAAGTATCTGCCTGCAATGCAGGAGACAGTGGTTTTTGATTCCTGGGTTGGGAAAATCCCCTGGAGAAGGGAATGGGAACCCACTCCAGTTCTTGCCTGAAGAATTCCATAGACAGAGGAGCCTGGCAGGCTATCATCCATGGGGTTGCAAAGAGTTGGACACGACTGAGTGACTAATATACATCAATATCATTACTACTTTTCTGTACCACTTTTTTTAATCTCAGAAATATGCCATCTATTTATTGTATCCAATGAAAACAATTTTTAGTAAGTATTCAAAAAATCATTTTTGTCTTTGTTCAGTCACCCTCATTTACCATGCTTCAATTAATTCATGGATTTCTATACATACATGTTGATGTGTACATTCAGAACTACACTTAATCTCTCTTCAAGATTTGTTTCCTGGGAACAAATTTATGGACTTCTATTGTCAAGTTCTGATCACATACAGTGAAGAATATGTTATCACATATATACTTCCGTTTTGCATTTTATTAATTAGCAGGTGATGAAACACCACTCATACTGTTTAAATGCCTACTCTCTATTCCCTCTGTGCCCCTTTTCACTGCCTTCCCCTCTTGCACTATTCATTTCTCTATGACAGATACATTTATGACCTCATTTTATGATTTTAACCAGGCACTGTTCTCTTTTCTCCCATTGGTAATACAAAGAACTCTTGATCTAATCAACCTTTGAGAGTTACTCCTGCTACAAGCCCATAATACAAGTATCTTAAGCCATAAATTAGTTCAGACTTGGCAAATAAATACCATGTATGCTGCCCCTATCGACACAGCAGATAACTTTTTGGCCATGCCCAGACACAGCTCCTTAAACAGCATTCTAAGCAGTTACCACCAGTTAACTGACTAGAATAAGCACCAGAAATTAAAACCTATTGGACATCTTTTGTCCAGATAATTAAATTCAACTCTGATTTCATCTGCATTAGGCTATCTTTTCTTTCAAAAGCCCCCAACTTTGCTTAACAGTAAATGAAAATGCTGCCAATCTCTTCAATTGGCTGTTCAAGATCTTAGTGCCTAGGTTAGCAGCTCATATTCTTTTTCCTACTCCAACATATCTGTAGAGTTTTACACATCAGTGACAGAGGATCACAATTAGAAAGATTCTTATACTAGATGAGAAGAGGTTGGAGAATGAAAGACCAGGAATGAAGGTTAGGCCTACCCAAGTTAATCATCCCAACTGAAAAGGAGAATGAAAAAACAGTCACTGGTATAGATGCTTTCTAGATTTCTCAGTCTCATTAGTTCTTATAGAGAGCAGCAGAACTGGTAGATTTAATAAGTGTTAGCAAGTTTTTTCTTCTGCTGTTGCTACATAATCCAAGAAAGCATGCCCCTTCACTAACCATGTCAAGTCCACATGCTCATTTTAAAATAAAAGGAGATAAGAGATCTTATACTTCAGGGAATCAAGAAAATCTCATTCTTTATCAATAGTTCACACTGCTGAATTTCAAAATGAGAGTTACTGGGGATTTATCTTTCAGTGAGAAATTCAGAATTAAAATTCTACAAATCCAGCCAATCACAGAAAGCATTACCTCCAGGTCTGTTTCCTTCTGCAGTTCTTGTATCAAGGTCATAGTCTTATTGAAAGTAGCACAAATGCGGCTTTTAGTCTCTTTCTGCTCCACAGAAATTGGTTTAAAGCGAACATGCAAAGTCTGATATCGAGACTTTATTGCTGACAATTCCTTTAAAAGTGTAACTGGATTTTTCTACATTAGGAAAAAATTAGTATATATTAAATCTGGAAAGGAAAAATAAAGCTTCTTTTAAGAATTAAAATACATACAACACATGCTACCATCCATTTAATAGAACACTATAAAAAACTATGCAACTGTGTGACAGAGAATGGGAGGAGGGGAAGAAAGAGAAGTATAAGACCTAGATACTATTCTCAAGGAATTTAAAGCCTAGGTACAGAAATAACCCTTCTCACATACACATACACACACACACACACACACACACACACACACAAAATAGCAATATTAAACAGCAAATAATGTCATGTTAGATACATAATATTTGATGTACAGTTCATAATAATTACACAGTACTTCTAAGATACAATTCTAAATGTTATTCAGAAGGTGATTAAAGGAACTATTTTGATTTGCTCTTATAGAAAAGACAAGTTGAAACCACTTATCATAAAATTCTTCAATACACTGTCATGGGGCTAAAGTATGTATAAGCACCAATTCAAGGCACACCTCACTATACAAAATGCATGCCAACTCAAGCAACTGTATTTATAAATTATATTAGTTTTTCAAATTTATTTTCAATGTAAATAACCACTATTCCATAAAAGACATTTCAACTGTGACAGTTCAAAAGTGACATTTCTGCCACTTAATAATTCTTCTCATTCCTTCGTGGTTCTTTAGCAAACTCTCCAACTCTAGGTATTCCAAACTTTCTCCATTCCTACCAGTTCCCATCCACTCATTCTTGGCACAAGATCTCACCCCAACTACTTTACTGAGAAGACAGAAAACACCTGGGAGTTTCTATTCCTGCCCTTTCACCTAAAAATGAAAACATCTACTCTGATCCTTACTCAGCTCCTAACACTACTACTATTATTGTCTCCTCCCCATATCCTCCAGAACCTTAAAATTCCTATATTTAAATAACCTATTCTTATCTCCCTTTATACAGACTTCAAATATACATAGATTGTCCCTACACTGAGGGGAAAATAACTCCTCTTGACTCTTGTTTCAAAACCAGTGTCATTTTTCTCACTCCATTTGCCACTAACCTTCTAGGTCCTATAATAATATACTTCCTCAGTTTAATAGCCCATAGACTGCAATCCTTTGCCAAATTATTGTAAACAATCAAAAAGTCAGACTTGTCCTATAAACTTTTTAAACGTTTTATTTTCTATTGGGGTACAGCCAATTAACAATGTTGTGATAATTTCAGATGAACAGTCATACATGACTGAAGGGATTCAGTCATACATATACATGTATCCATTCTCCCCCCAACCCCCTTCCCATCCAGGCTGGCCCATAACGGAGTAGAGCACTGTATATGTGCTACACAGTAGATCTTTGTTGGTTAAAGACAGTAAAATGCTAATAAAGTTAATCTAANCAATGGCAACCCACTCCAGTACTCTTGCCTGGAAAATCCCATGGACGGAGGAGCCTGGTGGGCTGCAGTCCATGGGGTCGGGAAGAGTCAGACAACTGAGCGACTTCACTTTCACTTTTCACTTTCATGCATTGGAGAAGGAAATAGCAACCCACTCCAGTGTTCTTGCCTGGAGAATCCCAGGGACGGGGGAGCCTGGTGGGTTGCCGTCTATGGGGTCACACAGAGTTGGACACGACTGAAGCGACTTAGCAGCAGCAGCAGCATACCATCTTGATTATCGTCTCACTCTTTAAATATTTCCTTTGTGTGGACCCTACCTCATGGCTACAGGCAGAGGCTCAGTTCATGGCCCTCCTTTCTTCCTTGGAGGTTTTTTGCTAAGCTTTTGAAGATGGAAATAATAAATAAAGATAATTCTAAACACAAATGAATCAGAACAAAAAACCCAATTTAAAGACTGTTAATTCTACAAATAATGATCAAGACCTACAGCATGAGCAGCAGAAGTAGGAAAAGGACAGAAAAGAGATGCTATTAAAGAAAAGTTAGGAAAACTTAGTAGTATCTTTGATAGGGGCAAAGAAATAACAGATGACACCAAATGTGTAGTCTGGAAAATTGTGTATATGAGGTAACTAGAGTAATAAAGTTCACAGAGACAGAAGGTAGAATGGTAGTTGCCAGGGATTGGGAAGAGGAGGAAATGGGGAGTTATTATTTAATGGATGCAGTTTCTATTTGGAAAGGTGAAATCAAGTTCTGGAAATGGATGGTGGTGATAGCTGCACAATGATGTAAATGTACTAAAACCATGGAACTGCACACTTTAAAATGGAAAAAATGGTGAATTTTATCTTATATATTTTATAATTTTATCTTACATATTTTTAAATTTTATCTTACATATTTTACAACTTTTTTAAAAAACCCAAAAAACTGAGAATGCATAATAGTACAACTGCTTTGGAAGACAATGTAGTAGTTCCTCCAAATATTAAACATAGGGTTACCATGTGCCCAGGAATTCCACTCTTAGGTATATACCCAAGTGAAATGAAAGCAAACATCCACACAAAAACTTGTAATGAATGTTTATAGGAATATGATCATAACAGCCAAAGGAAACAACCAAACTGATATTAACTGATCAAATAAATAAGAAAATGTGGTATGGCCATACAATGAAATATTATTCAGCAGTAAAAAGGAATGAAGTACTGATTCATGCTACAGCCAGGATGAACCTTTAAAACATGCTAAGTGATATCCAGAAAAGATGAAAACTCTAATTTGAAAAGATACATGCACCCCAATATTCATAGCAGCACTGTTTACAATAGTCAAGACATGGCAGCAACGTAAACATCCATCAGTAGATGAGTCGATAAAGAAGATGTGGTATAAAATGGAGAAAAGACGGTCTCTTCAGCAAGTGGTGCTGGGAAAGCTGGACAGCTGGGTGTAAATCAATGAACTTAGAACACTCCCTCACACCATACACAAAAATAAACTCAGAATGGCTTAGACTTAAACATAAGACACGACACCATAAAACTCCTAGAAGAGAATGGAGGCAAACCATTCTCTGACATAAATCACACCACTGTTTTCTTAGGTCAGTCTCCCAAGGCAGTGGAAATAAAAGCAGAAATAAACAAATGGTACTTACTCAAACTTATTAGCTTTTGTACAGCAAAGGAAATCATAAACAAAACAAAAAGACAACCTATAGGATGGGAGAAAATATTTGCAAACAATGGGACCAACAAGGGCTTAATTATTGCCAAGATACATAAACAACTCATACAACTCAATATCAAACAAAAACCCAGTCAAAAAAATAGGCAGAAGACATAAATAGACATTTCTGCAAAGAAGACATACAGATGGCCAAGAGGCACATGAAAAGATGCTCCATATCACTAATTATTAGAGAAATGCAAATTGAAACTACAACAAGGTATCACCTCACACTGTTCAGAATGGCCATCATTAAAAATCCATAAATAATAAATGCTGGAGAGGATGTGGACAGAAAAGACCCTCCTACACTGTTGGTAGGAATGTAAATTGGTGTAGCCACTATGGAGAACAGTACGGAAGTTCCTCAAAGAACTAAAAATAGAGTTACTATATAATCCAGCAATCCTACTCCTGGGTGTATATCTGGAGAAAACTCCAATTTGAAAAGATAAATGCACCCCAATATTCACTGATTATTTACAATAGCCAAGACATAAAAGCAACCTAAATGTCCATCCACAGATGAATGGATAAAGACGTGATATATGTATACAATGGACTACTACTCATCTATAAAAAAGAATGAAATAATGCCATCTGCAGCAACATGGATGGATCTATATAGATTTTCACACTAAGTGAACTCATAAAGAGAAAGACAAATATCATACAATATCACTTACATGTGGAATCTTAAAAACAATACAAATGAAGTTATTTACAAAACAGAAACAGACTCACAGATGTGGACAATCAATTTATGCTTACTAAAGGCGAAATGGGGTGAGAGAAGAATAAACCGGGAATTTGGGATTAACAGATACATACTATTATGTATGTATTATGTATTCTACAGTACGTGAACCATGAACTTCCAGATGTTCAAGCTGGATTTAGAAAAGGCAGAGGAACCAGAGATCAAATTGCCAACATCTGCTGGATCATCGAAAAAGCAAGAGAGTTCCAGAAAAACATCTACTTCTGCTTTACTGACTACACCAAAGCCTTTGGCTGTGTGGATCACAACACACTGTGCAAAATTCTTACAGAGATGGGAATACCAGACCACATTACCTGCCTCATGAGAAATTTGTATGCAGGTCAAGAAGCAACAGTTAAAACCAGACATGGAACAGACAGGTTCCAAATCGGGAAAGGAGAACTTCAAGGCTGTATATTGTCACCCTGCTTATTTAACTTATATGCAGGGTACATCAAGAGAAATGCTGGGCTGGATGAAGCACAAGCTGGAATCAAGACTGCAGGCAGAAATATCAATAACCTCAGATAAGCAGATGATACCACCCTTATGGGAGAAAGTGAAGAAGAACTAAAGCTCCTCTTGATGAAAGAGGAGAGTGAAAAAGTTGGCTTAAAATTCAACATTCAAAAAACTAAGATCATGGCATCCGGTCCCATCACTTCATGGCAAATAGATGGGGAAACAATGGAAACAGTGAAAGACTTTATTTTCTTGGGCTCCAAAATCACTGCAAATGGTGACTGCAGCCACAAAATTAAAAGACGCTTGCTCCTTGGAAGAAAAGCGATGACCAACCTAGACAGCATATTAAAAAGCAGAGACATCACTTTGCTGTATGGACATGAAAGTTGGACTATAAAGAAAGCTGAACGCCAAAGAATTGATGCTTTTGAACTGTGGTGTTGAAGAAGACTCGTGAGAGTCCCTTGGACTGCAAGATCAAACCAGTCAATCCTTAAGGAAATCAGTCCTGAATATTCATTGAAAGGACTGACTGATGCTGAAGCTGAAACTCCAGTACTTTGGCCACCTGATGCGAAGAAATGACTCACTGGCTAAGACCCTGATGCTGGAAAAGATAGAAGGCAAGGGGAGGAAAAGGGGATGACAGAAGATGAGATGGTTGGATGGCATCACTGACGCTATGGACATGAGTTTGAGCAAGCTCCAGGAGCTGGTGATGGATAGGGAAGCCTGGCGTGCTGCAGTCCATGGGGTCACAAAAGAGTCGGACACGACTAAGCGACTGAACTCACTGACTGACTATTATGTATAAAATAGATAAACAACAGGATCAACTGTATAGCACAGGGAACTATACTCGGTATCTTGTAATAACCTATAATGGAAAAGAATTTGAAAAATATATATACACACAGACACATATTTTTGTGTGTATATATATGTGTGCATGTATAACTGAATCACATTGCTCTCCACCTGAAAAACTGTAAATCAACTATATTTCACTTTTTTTAAAAAAAATGCTAAACCAGATATAAAAGGCCACATATTGTATGATTCCATTTATATGAAATGTTCAGAGAGCAAATCTGTAGAGTATAGAGACAGGAAGTAGATTAGTAGTTGCTGGAAGCTGGCCAGGGGAGGGGGAAGTGGTTGTTAATGGGGAGAAACAGCTAATGGGCATGGGTTTCTTTTTGAGGTTATGAAAATACTCAAATATTTACTGTGATGATGGCCATACAATATACTAAACTGCTAAAAATTACAATAAACTAAGCATACTAAAAACCACTAAATTATCTACTTTAAAAGAGTGAATTCTGTGCTATGTGAATTATAGCTCAATAAAGCTGTTTTTAAAAAAAAGTTGTAGAAGAATAAAACAACTGGAAATGTGATAAAAATGAGAGATAGAAGGTGGGAGAAAAGTGGAAGCCCCACAAGAAATGTCTTCCAGATAGTACTTGAAATATACTGACTCAGATGAGTGCTTTGGCCAATTAATTGGGGTACCACTTGACAAGAATGGGTTGGTTTTCTTCAGTAAGAGAGAAAAGAGAAAAAGACAAAGTCAAGTCAGTTAAGGAGACAGAATAGTTAAAACTATACTCCTAGAGAATCCTGACATTCCATTATTTCATGTAAGCAGTAAAAATTGAACATTCACAGTGCTTTCCCAATTTTATATAAAATCTTATTTTAATTTGAACTTTTACACAATTCCCCCGAAATTTTTATTGTATAATTTTTTTAAAAAACAGTAAAGTATGATATTTCTTATCTGCTAGCTGTGCTATAGGAGAAAAAAAGAATACCATAAAGTGATAAATTAATGTTTTACATGATAAATTAATGTTAACAGACAAGGTTCAAAAATTGCTTTATCTCTATAGGCATGTGTACATGTTGTTATAACTTTATGACTTATAAACAGATAGGATTTCTAATCAATCTAAATTTAGAATAACTATGTATATAATTTTATATAAAAGTCACAGTCCATGTAACAAATTTAATAGTGTATCATCATCTTCCTCAGAGAATATCATGACTGCTAGGATTTCTCCCCTCTTATTTAACCATTGCCCTAAAGGTTATTCTTTCACAATTTCAGAGGCTTCCACAGTTGTTTACACATCTAGACTCAATAATTCCTGTTAAAAGGTAAAAAAAAAAAAAGAGGAGCCACAAATTTCCTTTACTATGAGTATAATCTCTCCAATATTCTGTGACCAAACTTCCAACACAAAAGGATTCTATGAATGTAATCCTTAATAATGTAACTGTTATACTCTACTATTAGAAATACATCAGGAAATCTTTTAATAAAATATTCTGTTAAAAATATATTTCTTTTGCAGATTACCTTGCCTGCTGAATCAGGATAATTAGTCTTGATTTCATATTCCAGCCTGTACTGAATGTAGTCCAGATCAGAGTCAGCTTTCTGGAACTAAAGATCAGCACAGATCATTAGTTCACAAACCACAAGACATTTCACAAAACATGATACTATAGCTATTCTGTCTTTTCTCTTTATATTTTTAATATTATATATACTAATTTTGAAAATAGGGAAATAGTAAAAACAATGGCTTCAGGAATTACCTAAGGTTACCACCACACTCATCAATTAGGCAGTTTTTCTACCTCTGGAAGGATATGTGGTTTCAAGTTAAAGCACAGAACAAATTTATTTTTAGGGATACTCCGGTTGTTAACACAATCTACAACCCCATTAACCAAAGAACTATAAGTATGTGCCACACAGGCCAAGACTAGAAGGCTTAAAGAGCCATAAGTTATACAAGAAAAGCTACATACGCTATAATAATGGCACAGCAGGCCAAATAACCACAATTTATTTAACCTGGGTACTAGCGTGGAACCTTGATCTGCAGTAAATTTCTAAGGGAGAAAAAGGGGAAAAACTGCCATAGGCTGTAAAATACACGTGTGTTCATATGGAAAAGTTGGGAAGCATATACATCATTGTTAAAAGTGGTTTATCTCTGAATGTGACATAATCTACAAATTATTCTTAATTTGGGGGAATTCTACATCTTTTACAAGATCTTAAAGCAAGTACTACCTTGAATTTATCAGGGAAACAACCATGGTCCTTTGATTTACTGTGAAAGGTAAAAAAAAAATTGCTTTATCTCTATAGGCATGTGTACATGTTGTTATAACTTTATGACTTATAAACAGATAGGATTTCTAATCAATCTAAATTTAGAATAACTATGTATATAATTTTATATAAAAGTCACAGTCCATGTAACAAATTTAATAGTGTATCATCATCTTCCTCAGAGAATATCATGACTGCTAGGATTTCTCCCCTCTTATTTAACCATTGCCTTAAAGGTTATTCTTTCACAATTTCAGAGGCTTCCACAGTTGTTTACACATCTAGACTCAATAATTCCTGTTAAAAGGTAAAAAAAAAAAAAGAGGAGCCACAAATTTCCTTTACTATGGGTATAATCTCTCCAATATTCTGTGACCAAACTTCCAACACAAAAGGATTCTATGAATGTAATCCTTAATAATGTAACTGTTATACTCTACTATTAGAAATACATCAGGAAATCTTTTAATAAAATATTCTGTTAAAAATATATTTCTTTTGCAGATTACCTTGCCTGCTGAATCAGGATAATTAGTCTTGATTTCATATTCCAGCCTGTACTGAATGTAGTCCAGATCAGAGTCAGCTTTCTGGAACTAAAGATCAGCACAGATCATTAGTTCACAAACCACAAGACATTTCACAAAACATGATACTATAGCTATTCTTTCTTTTCTCTTTGTATTTTTAGTATTATATATACTAATTTTGAAAATAGGGAAATAGTAAAAACAATGGCTTCAGGAATTACCTAAGGTTACCACCACACTCATCAATTAGGCAGTTTTTCTACCTCTGGAAGGATATGTGGTTTCAAGTTAAAGCACAGAACAAATTTATTTTTAGGGATACTCCGGTTGTTAACACAATCTACAACCCCATTAACCAAAGAACTATAAGTATGTGCCACACAGGCCAAGACTAGAAGGCTTAAAGAGCCATAAGTTATACAAGAAAAGCTACATACGCTATAATAATGGCACAGCAGGCCAAATAACCACAATTTATTTAACCTGGGTACTAGCGTGGAACCTTGATCTGCAGTAAATTTCTAAGGGAGAAAAAGGGGGAAAACTGCCATAGGCTGTAAAATACATGTGTGTTCATATGGAAAAGTTGGGAAGCATATACATCATTGTTAAAAGTGGTTTATCTCTGAATGTGACATAATCTACAAATTATTCTTAATTTGGGGGAATTCTACATCTTTTACAAGATCTTAAAGCAAGTACTACCTTGAATTTATCAGGGAAACAACCATGGTCCTTTGATTTACTGTGAAAGGTAAAACGTGATTTCCTCAGGGAAGGTCTCCCATTCCTAGCCCACATCTGAGGAGACTGCTTTGGGGAGACAGTTCAGACCTTTCTGTCAACTTAAGCTCTGGACTAAAGATTGCTTCTTGAAAATGTAATTTTACCCTTAATGGGAAGGGTAAAATCAACAAAAAGTAGTTCTCAGATCTAATAAGAAGTGCTATACAGATATTTTTATTATACAAAAAGTAAACCAAGCATTCTACTTTGGAATGTAGAATAAGAAAAAAAGGTTCTCAGAAGTTAAAATGCTTCAAAAGTCAGAAGCTGTCATTATTTAACAAAGTTCAGAAAGAGAGAAACTAAATCTTCCATCACTAATAATTTCTCATCATTGGCCTAAATTTGGTCAGAAAACTTTTCAATTAATAACATTCTATTTTTATAACTAAAAACTTTTGGAGTAGAAATAGAAGAAAAAAAAGTCAGTTTTCATTTTAAAAAATTTCCCAAGAATCAGTATCTGATTTGCATCTCTAACATCAAGGAGTTGCTGAGTCAGAAAAACAAATGTATTAGTTCTTTGTCTAAAAAGTATTTAAAATGTTTTCCAAAAATGGAGGCATTTCATTTGTCTCATATGCTTGTTACATTAGCTGCCATGATTCAATCTATCAATAATTAGACTTCTTTAAGCATACTAATGGGTTTCCCTGGTGGCTGAGATGGTAAAGCATCTGCCTGCAATGCGGGAGACCGGGGTTCGATCCCTGGGTCGGGAAGATCCCCTGGAGAAGGAAATGGCAACCCACTCCAGTACTCTTGCCTGGAGAATCCCATGGAGAGAGAAGCCTGGTGGGCTACAGTCCATGGGGTCACAAAGAGTCAGACACGAACCTGAGCGACTTCACTAAGTCACTAAGCATGTGGGTCCACATGTGGGTCCAAGCATACTAATAATTACTACATATGTATTAATATATGTATATATGTAAATAAAATCCTGTTGGTATAATTTCCCATGTTAAAATATGCTCCAAAATTAACTTTTCCTTTACATGTGGATGGAGAGTAGGGGCAGAAGAGTGGGAGGAGGACAAATCAATTAAGCAAAGGCTCTAAGCACTGAAAACCTGATTTAATTACTGGAATAGACCACAGTTCTATAGCTTTATGTATAATTTGAGGTCTTATGCAACATTCTAAAGCATAACTTTAAATAAAACTTTTTAAAACTAGTATTTTAAACTAACCTAATAGTTACTACAAAATTCTTAAGATTATGGGATTTGTCACTCCAGGGCTACCTTAAAGTAGAATCTCTATTCTAGAAGCCCTTAACCTGGTATTCTTAAACCTATATTTTTTCAACTTGACAGTTTAGCTCTGCTTACATTTAACAGGCATAATCCCATAGTCCATTTTACAAAGCCTTCTCAAGAGAGTGGTTTCAGCTATAGCTTCATATAATACTTGGGGGTCCACAAGTTACTAAAAACCACCAAACAGTACCTAAAATAAGTGTTCCTTCTTTTAAGTAATTTATATTTTAATAAGATACAAAAGAGTATGCTTCCAATCAATGGCATGATGGAGCCAGCTAAATTTTTATAAATTCTTGTAAGCAAACAGGAGCATCACTAAAAATTAAATTATTAAATGTACAATTAAATTATTGAAAACAAATATATACACAAACCCCACAATTGCCTAGTTTTACTGTATTTTACTCATCTATGCTCTTGAGGCCTATCCTATCTATAGAGTAGGAATATATCACATGCTACTACTGCAAGTCTTTCCAGCTCATTTTCTGTGACATCATGCTGGTAACCTGAAATCAGACAGGGTGGAAAAATACACAACAGGAAAATTGGCAAATGCTCAAATTCAGGACTTCCCACTTTCATACAACTGCTGCATTTATATGTACAACACTGCTTCCAAAAAGTCTTTAAAATTTGTTTGCATTTCCCCTTTAAGTAATATGCCCATACTTCTATTTGGAAAATATTTCAGAGAACAAACAGAATTTTAAACAGATTTTTTAAGTCAGGGGGTGCAGGGAATGGGGGTCACTGTTTACATGTGCAGAGTTTGTTTAGCATTGATGAAGCTCTGGAGGTGGATGGCGGCGATGGTTGCACAATGAGAATGCACATAAGGATGCTGAGTTCTATTTTGAGTCCACATTTTAAGTGGTTAAAATGGTAAATTTTATGTTATATGTATTTAACCACAATTTAAAAACTTTTGTTTTGGTTTTTGGTCATGCCTTATGGCATGTGAATGTGGGGTCTACCAGAGGTAGAACCAGTGCCCCCTGCAGTGGAAGCGTGGACCTTCACCACTGGACTGTCAGCTAAGTCCAAAACCTCTTTCTAAAATATAGGAAAAACAATGGTTTGAGAGTAGAATGTTACCCTCCTTGAAGAGCTGAAGGAATATTTTGTGATAATACCTAGGGGAAGTATTTACTCATTAGCAAGTCAGTGGACTATGGCTTGTGAAGTGAAAGTTGCTCAGTCGTGTCCGACTCTGTATAGTCCATGGAATTCTCTAGGCCAGAATACTGGAGTGGGTAGCCCTTCCCTTCTCCAGGGGATCTTCCCAACCCAGGGATCAAACCCAGGTCTCCCGCATTGCGGGTGGATTCTTTACCAGATGAGCCACAAGGGACGTCCGGGCTATAGATTAAGTGGGGGAAAAAAAGGAAAAAGGATGTCAATGCAATGTTGAGAAACAGAAAAACAATGAAGATTCTCTCATCTGAACCCTTCATTTTATAAACGAAGCAAACAGTCTAAGTGACTTGCCTCTACTTCTATTTTCATTACTCTTGTTTTTATGTAGTTAGACTAAAGTTATCCATGAGTCAAATGAGAGAGTTGGAAATCTACTCCCTTCCAACAATAAAATTCTATTATTTCATTACACTACAATAAAACAAGGCTTAATTTATCAAAATGTTAAAAGTAAGAAAAGTGTTTATTCTAATATATAAAGGTTTGACATTTGAGTTTCAGATTTTAATGTCTGTATTAAAAACTAGCTTCTACTATTTTATTCCCAAAGGAAAACAACTGTTGCTTCAGTTTCAGCTACATTGTTTCTGCAACCTGCCCATTGTTCTTTCCAAACACCAAAACCCTATAAGCAATATTGCACTACTCAGAGCTATTTACACAGCAGAGACAATATCGATAGGGTTCTAGGATCTGGTAATAAACAGGAAAATTTTCAGTTACACCGTAGGAAATTTACTAACCAATTATGACAGCCTCCAAAACTCATTAGTGTCTGATTAATAGAACAAAATGATATTGCTGAACTTCATTCACAACCCTCCTCAGCTATAAATTAGCTTCTGGGAAGCCTTGAAGAACAGTGTAGTTGCTATTTAATTAGTTTTAGCTATCTGTCTTATTTTTAGGCATATTAGAATATTTAAAATAAAACATGAATTTTTTAAAGCCCAAGACATTCATATTTCATATTCACGGTTTTCCTCTAACTCAGTAATAAAAATAAACGGGGAAAATAAATGGGGAAAAAAAAAAAAAAGGGAAAAGTTTTATATCAATCCCAAAAATGGTAAATAAAAATAGGCAATTTAGCTGGGAAAAGCTCATGGAAATCAATGTTAAAGCCCCAAAGACAACCAAATTACATCCTGATAATTGGATATCCTTAGAAACAGACTGTGGTTGTAGGGAAAAAACCATATGAATGAGAAAAAGAACAATTTAGGAAATAATTTAGAGTTTTAAAGAGCATGCCCCGTATTTCACAAGTATATAACATTCTGTAGTACTGGTTTTTATGTTCAGCTTAAGGCATTAAAGGCACACTATATTACATACCACTAAAATATTTGAAAGCAGGATATAATTGCAGTACAGTTTAAAAAATATTTCCTTTTTACAAACAACCCACAGATTCCCACTGCCACAATAATGCTCCCTTTCAGAAGGACCAGCTCCAAACACATCCTCTTGTGAGAAAGCCTATCTCAACAGCATCAAAACACAGGAAAACGAAGGGTCTTGCCTATGATGAGAGGAGTTGATAGAGGTATGTTCTGGACTCAGTAGCTAAGCTTACAAATACATTTTCCTTAGACACATTTTAAGGGAGAATTAGGTATCTTAATACTCCTAGATCTAGGTTAGCTGTATTATCAACCAAAGAATCTACTTAAAGCACAACTTTCCTTACATTCTCCTCTCTCCAATAGATTTAGAAAGACCTTTATCTACTCTCATTTTTCTTTTCACGGCTGAGGCTTCTCGTTTCATGTCTTATATTACAATCATTTGTTTTCATGGTACTGTCCCCAT